AAGGCATGCACTTTGGATAATTGTATAAAGTTGAGTTCCTAAAAGAAATACACACCAAATTCAGGCCATATGAGCTTTGTCTGGCATGTTTCCCCCAAATAAGAATCTACATGTCTGAATCACTCTATTTCTCCTGATAAATTACCAGCATGAGGAAAACATGACGTTTGTGTTATGCAGCAGTGTTCATATCTTAATATCAAATTCAAATCTTATGATGATCAAACTGTTCACACTCAGGAACAGTGGCAATGTGATCAAGTTTCTGTTTTATTACCACGGGGGTTGAAATAAAAAATAAAAAATTCTTCTCAAAACCATGTCTGTGTGTCTTTCAGAATTATAGTCTGAGTATTGAATGGCAACAGTATAACCACTATACTATAGAGATAAAAACATGGTTGAATGTATACACCCTCTACTGGGGGAGCTGTGCAATTCATATCATGTCAAGCATTATTGTCATTCATGGAGGAAATTCCATTTCTCTTGCAACTTTCAGGCAATAACCACACACACACACACACACACACACACACACACTCACACACACACAAACACAAACACACAGAGATCGATTACAAAACTATATGGGTATATTCAAGGGCAGGCTTTAGGATGGCTAGATCCTACCTGCCCTACCGTTGCCACTTTGTTTATTTAAATGGGGAATCATCTCAATTAACACCAGTAAAATATGGAGTGCCACAAGAATCTGTCTTAGGCCCTCTGCTATTTTCAATATACATGTTGCCCCTTGGTAATATTATTAGAAAATTTGGCATTAGTTCCATTGTTATGCTGATGATACTCAACTATATATTTCAACAAGACCAGATGAAACTTCTAAATTATCTAAGCTAACAGAGTGTGTCAAAAATGTAAAAGATTGGATGACCAATAATTTTCTCCTATTAATTTCAGATAAGACAGAGATATTACTTATTGGACCTTCAATAAACAAGCTACAGGTAGTCCAAAATGCAGCTGCTAGTGTCCTTCCCAGGTCACTACACTGGCTACCTATTAAGTTCCGTATCAGTTACAAAATATTGTTACTTATAAGGCCCTTAATGGTTTAGCTCCTGCGTATCTAACCAGTCTGCTATCACGCTACAATCCATCACGCTCCCTAAGGTCGCAAAACTCTGGACTTTTGGTAGTACCTAGGATAGCAAAGTCCACTAAAGGAGGTAGAGCTTTTTCACATTTGGCTCCCAAACTCTGGAATAGCCTTCCTGATAACGTTCGGGGTTCAGACACACTCTCTCTGTTTAAATCTAGATTAAAGACACATCTCTTTAGATAAGCATTCACATAATGTATCTCATAACCTGGTTCTCCAGCTATATCTGATCAAATGCACATTATTATTCTTTGCTTGGTTTGAACACATTTAAAACATTTTTTTGCTTGGTTTGAACAGCACCTACGCTTTTTCTCTATTTGCTTCTCTGTTTCTGCCATGGGATGCCAACCCTGAACCAACATACAAAACTACCAAATTTTCCTATAAGTTTGATCACAACATATACTCATTGCTGTTAATTGTGTTCACGTTTGAATACATGTCATTAACTAATTACATGATTATTATTATATATTTTTTTCTGCCATACGGACATCACCTTGACATAGTCACCACTGATAAGCTACTCCTAAATATAATGTAGAAAGTTTAATTTTCTGTGAAGCTGCTTTGCAACATTTGTGTTGTGAAAAGAGCTATACACACACACACAAAAAAAGAAACATGCAGGTTTGTTTGTTCATTTATTTATGTTTAACTTTGAGTAATTTGGCCCTTCATAATAAAATGTGTAGTTCAACATTATTAATTGTGGTAGTCCTTTTTTTTACCTTTGTGTCACATACAAATTAATAGCACATTACATATTATATTATATGTACAATATATATATTATATATTGAAAGACTGTGTTTACAAAACTTGCAAAACCAATTATTGTTTTAGCTATCAGAGGTAAGAAGAACCACCAAAGTATCTGCAGATCTAAATAATCAGATGTAGGGGCTATTCTTTATTTTTCAAATTCTTGCTGTGTTTATGAGCTCTTTTTCAGAATGAAAATATTTACATTAATTTGAATTCTTAATTCACTTAGAAATAGTAATTTAATATAAATTGACCAGAATCTGAAAAATACTTCACCACATGGTATGAAGCAAAACAACACAAGCTTTTCCCCCCCGCTGGACACGTTTCTGAGAAATATTCAGCTAGTTATTTGGCTCTTAAGTTCAGGCAAAAGTAGGCTAACAGTTCACATTTCAGGCATTTGTCATACTTCATGTCGTTTCTAATGTATATTTATTGTAGGCCTGTCAATCGATTAAAATTTTTAATCTAATTAATTACAGGGTGCTGAAACTAAATTTGGCTGTGAAGATACCCCCAAAAGATAATTTAAAGCTATTATTGTGTTAAATGTTTAGGCTACAATGGCCTAACATAAAGTATGGAACATAAAAGAAGATAATTTGAAAAACATCTCAGTATTTTTTGTTCATGCAATGAAAGTCACTAGTGACCAAAACTGCTTAGTTACCAACAGTATTCAAAATACCTTCTTTTATGCTGTGCAAAAGAAAGTAAGTCATTCAGGTTTGAAAAAACATGAGGGTGAGTAAATGATGACAGAATTGATTTATTTTTGGTGAACTATCCCTTTAATGTTTTTATTTATTTATTAATAAATGAAATTATACTCTAAAGAAGAAACTAAAACTACCAGCAGGTGGCGGTAAATGTCTATATGAGTCGATTCGTTCAAACGGCTGATTCATTCAGGAATGAAGTAAACGGCTCACTTTATGAATGGGCTTTTGAATCATTGGTTCACACGATTCGTTCAAAACGCGGATTCATTCAGAAACTAAACAATGCTGTGTTGCTTGGAGACGCACAACAGTTCTGCTGTGGCTTTTTAAGTAATATTTTCGTTGGCAAAACTGAACAAAAACACACAATATTGTGTTTAACATATAGCACAATATTAACTTCTTATTTACTGAACTGTTGTATGAAATCACATTTGCACTGGTGTTCTTCGTGACAAAAACTGGTGATATTGCTCTCGTTGCTGGTGTGATATCATTTATCATATGATATAAATATGAGACAAATACTCATACAGGGGCATTTTTTGCCCCAATATCTTGAATTTTAGGGCAGAACTGCATTTATAAATTCCATATATGGAGTGCATCATATTTGTCAACAGTCAACCGTATGGACTGTAAGATGACGTACAGGTTTGGGGGAGGGGCCAGTGCGTTAACTGCGTTAAAATATTTTAATCGCGTTATTTTTTCATAACTAATTAATTCAGTTAACGCGTTAAACTGACAGCCCTAATTTATTGTATTAATTGAAACATTTCATGATGCATTTCATCGGATCATCATATTTTGTTCGGTTCATTCCTCCATATTTTTATAGCTACGCCTCAGGTCAGCTATGAAGGCCCATGGAGTGCCATGGGTGGATCTGCTCCCCTCTCATGTGGTCATTGCTTGGTTTAAAGGGGCCATATGATGCGATTTCAAGTTTTCCTTTCTCTTTGGAGTGTTACAAGCTGATTGTGCATAGATAAGATCCCTGAAGTTGCAAAGACTAAAGTCTCAAAACCAAAGAGATATTCTTTATCAAAGTTAAGACTCTGCCACGAACCCCTAAAACGGCTCGTTCTAACACGCCCCCACATATCTACCTCTGTACAGTATTTGAAAAATAATGTGTTTTTTGAACATTAAAGCATGTCAACATATTCTGATACACCAAATACACAAAATAATGATTTTTAAAAAAGCATCATATGACCCCTTTAACACTTTTCCTTCCAGACACTTGATTGGGCTGACATCTGTGGTTCTTTATCAAAAATCACTGGCTACTCCATACCAGTGAACACTTTGGTGTTATTACTGAATGACGACTCCATGTTGACGCTCTCTAATTGAAGATAAAAATGTTGACTTGCTGGTTTACATCTGCTAAAAAAATGCTAGCGCAAAACTGGCTCCCATTTCACATGTTGAATATTTAGAAGTGGCTGATGCAGCTTTGAGACATTATAATGCTATAGTCATTCACGGCACAGGTGAATTTTGCACAAACTTCTACACTGAAGACCAGGGGCCAGTTGCATAAACAGCCACTATGATAAGACTGTGTCTTAAGAACTAGTTTGACCAACTAGTAGCTCGTCAAGAGGTAATCAGACTTACTTTTTGGATTCAAATTAGACCATTCTACCTTTTTATAACTGACTTTAAGAAGTAAAATAAATAAATTAGATGACTAATTTTTTAAGACTAGTCTAAGTGGTTTATGCAACCGGCCCCAGGACTATTGCGGCTGGGGAGATTTCTAAGTATATAGCACAAATCAAAGACCTGGGCTCAGAGTGAACACAGCTGACTTCTCCTCTGTTCTCCCCCAACTCTGTGTGTATGTACCTTTGACATATAAGTCTGACATACCATACCACATGTGATAATTTGTGTGTGTGGTGTTTTTTTTTTTTTTACCAGCTGCCTAATATGTGCCCTATTGAATATAGATTACAGATTTAAGTGGGGTGGGAGAGGGATAAAAATAATTTTGTTTGCTTAACATGTTATGCTGTTTTTCATGTCATTTCATGTCATTTTACTTAAATGAATAATGGCCTATTGAATATCGTTTATTGTATATGTAGTATTTCGTGAAATAAATAAATAAATGAATAGATAGATAGATAGATAGATAGATAGATAGATTCAGTGCCGTATTGATTTATGCTCACGGTTCGTTTTACTGCATTCCGTGCTTTAATTTTAATTAAATACGTGTGTATTATATTGTTGTTTTTTTCTGCATGCAAAGCTTTATAAATCAACGTTCATAATCTGAAGTCTGTGTAAGTGGAGGAGACTTTTATTATTGCTCCTTATTTCTACCCTTGGCAAATGACCCCGCTCAGGTTGATTAACCCGGAAGTACCCACGCGGCTCACAGAGCACTCCGTCCGGTTCTGCGGACTCAAGGGGAGAAACGCCGAAGCACCATGGCTCTGTTCTAATCGCGTTTATTACGAGAAGTGTGATCAATTTACCGGCAATCCGTCACCATCCGCGCCTTAAACATGGACCTCCAGTCAAGAGGCTTGTCCTGGGGGCATCAACTTTGTCAGTAGTAACATCTGGAAACTGTATTTATAATTTTCCTCCCCATACTGTCACTTTTTTTGCCTTTGCACGCTACATGGGATTTAAACCTAAAGTGTCAGCAGCTAGCAAACACTTCTCACTTGATTAACCCAAATATTCCTGTGGAAACCAAGACGGCCTCTGCTAGTAACGAAAAATAACAACAACAAAAACAAAAAAACTTTCAAGAAACACGTTGACGAAGTCTTGCCCTCAAGTTTTCCCCGGGTGAGTAATCCTGCCTATCCTATGCTAACTTTGATAGCCGCGTTTAAACCGATAATCGTAGGGGCCAAGCGGGCCTAGACTGATTCTCACGACGGGTTTAATGTTGGTGGGTGGTCACGTATCAAACATTTTCTTCGTGAAACGTTTTTCTTTTAACTTGTCACTGATTATTTTCCCAATTTCCCTCCCTGTTAACCCAGTTGTGTGTTTCTGAGGCTTTATTTCCCAGCGCTTCGCTTTTTTCAGTTTCACACACACATTACTCATATTTCTGTGAGTCAGTCCTCTGAAACTTGGGGAACATACAAACTCGGCACAGTTTAGTCCCGTCCCGTTGAGGTTTTCATGGCCTATCGACTTTGGATGGCTTGTTCTCTGGTATTTTAGGAGCATTTTGTGACCGTTAAATGTCTCATGTGGCGTATAGAAGGAATGTCGGCACGCGGCCGTCAGAATAAGTTTGTGCGGTACATGACGGAGATTTTTTTTCCCTCGACAAACTCAACTTTACCCATGTGTTACATACGATACTGTAAACGAACCGGGGCGTCGATCTCACTAACCGTCGGCTTTCACCGTGTCATTGATTTAGAGGGGGGTAGCTAATAAGCTAGTGCGGTGAAATCGACACTTCCCTTCACGTTTACTGAGCGGGCCCGGTTTGATTTTATGGTTTTCTCCGATGGTTATCGAGGTGGGTTTTCGTCAGATGGCGTGTTGAGGTCGTTAAATCTTGGTTTGGGAATAAAACGACGCTGTTATGGTATTGAAAGTGTTGTGGATGTGAACGTGTCAGTGCCATATGGAGGCTAGCGCTGTTAGCTACTCCGGCAGAGCATCATGGCTGCGGTGTGACACGTCTGTAGAAGCAGCTTGCTGCTTTCCTCGCACTTCTGGGAGCCTAGCGTGCAGAAAACTCAACATTTGGGAAATGTTACCCTAGTGGTTTCTTTTATCAGCTCTACTGGTCTGTTCTGCAATGAGTATGTGAACAACTTATTTAAAAAGTTTAAAGCTATTTGGATGTTGGAGTTTCAGTATCTTGAGGATTTCATAATTGAATCAGCCTGTTTGGTTAATTTATTTCCTTGTGGCTCTGTCATATGAACCACCATAGTGGGTTTAGTTGCTTAAAGGGTGTAGTTAAACCCCCAAATGAACTTTTTTGTTGTGTATTTGACCACTTCTGTGGAAAACAAAATGTATTACAGATTGACAGTTTCAGTTACCATTCGCTTTCATTGTGTGGAACAAGATGCAATGGAAGTGGATGGTGAATGTGTAACATCTTTGAGTAAATGGCAGTTTTCATTTTCCAATGTGAAATATGACTGACATTCATTCGTTTTTATCTGGTTTTATGTTTCTTGAAGTGTTTTTTTTTTTTTTTTTTTTTGTCCAGTTCTTTAGTCAGCAAATGTTTATCAAGTAGATTTTTTAAATTTACTTATAAATGTAATGCTTTTATTGTAACAAAAGCTTTCCTCTTGGATGACTAAAGCCCAAGGCATACTTTGTGTGTGTGTTTTTTTTTGTGTGTGTACAGTGTGCATGATTTACATTTTGTCACCTTCACAAGTACATGCGTACATGACACTCACAGCACGATTTTTCTAACAGTACATACTCTGTATGTGCAGTTCACACATGTGCATTGTATTTATTTATTTTTTGCGTTAATCAGATGGCAACTCTTCCCTGGGCCACAGTCAGAAAAAGAAATGGAGGGCACAGGATGGTGACTACAAACTACTACTGGAAACAACAAGCATAGACGCTCGTGTTTACAAGCACTTGTGTAAAGGGGTTGAGAGATTCCCACAATCCTAGCTTAAATGATTACAAAGAATTTTTTTTAGTGCTCATCTTTTGGAAAGAAATAGCACAGACACTGGACTAGGGTTGTGACAGTGAGGAAATCTTCCCACCGGTTAATCGACGTGTGACAACACCGGTAATACCGGTATCACTGTGGGGTAGAGCTGCACGATTAATCGTTAAAAGATCGCGATCTCGATTCAGACAACCACACGATCTCATTTCTAAATGACAACGATTCTCCCGTGTCTATTAAACCTTTGAAAAAGTCTTACCGGATCATTCAAATCTGCGTTCGCACTGCCGCTGACACCTTAACAACGGTATCACCGTCAGCACCATCTATCGCGGCAAGCCTACACTGGACATGGATGAAAAGTTCACAAATATGTTGAGCATAGGGAACGATTATAGATATTGTTGGTACGATTATTGTCTGAGGAATAATCACGGTTTTACGATTATGACGATTATTATGCATTTATTTAAGCTGGTGCTCCGCTAGTGTAACTTTGTTTTCGTTTTGCGCAAGCTGCAACAGTTCCGTTCCGTGTAACAGAAACACTCGGTTTAGCGGAACCTTTACGATTAATTAACCGTGACGTTTTAAAGCGCGGTTAATGGCGAAACCGGTTAATCGCTGCATCCCTAGTGATGAGCATGCCATGAAATAGAATATACTTCGATAGGCTGATCGTGCAACTGTGTGCGTACCTGTAAAAAAAAAAAAAAAGTATACTTTGAGCCTAAGTGCCCTCAAATTTAGAAATGTACTTTACGATTGTGTGCTGTACAAGCCAGTGGCTTTTGTGGGAGCGTGTAATGGGTATCTTGCCAGTTCTCCCAAATGCATTGATCATAACTCCACAACTCGAGCCTGGTGTTCCCTCCCCCCACCACCCCACAAACACTTCATCTGGATGTCACGGATGGCTGGGCATCGGGCTATATTGAACACACGCTTGGCCTACCCTCCCCCCTCATGCCATAAACATCCCATGTTTAGCTCGTTCATCTCTAGGTTGTCTACGTCCTACTTTGGGTTACACTCATGACACAAATGCCTTTCTGACCTGTTGTCCTGCTTTTCCCTTTTGAGTAAGAAATTCATAAATGCATTTTTGCCTTGGTGGTCTGTCAGAGGCTTTCGTGTTCCCTCTGTCGGAAGCACATTCCCCATGTGCTTCAGTTCCCCAGCATTGCTCATCCTCCACCGTCTGCCCTCTCCCAGAAGGTCAGTTCTTTTTGAGAGGGTGTTTATTGCTTGCCATCTGTCGGGCTCAAAAACACAGAGCTGGATGGTAAGTCCTGCCCTATTGTGTGAGGGTCACAGGGGGCAGACAGACACGCCCAGAATGTAGAGCCTACATCTCTATAACCTCTGGTCTGAGCTTTCCAGCTGCTGTCCTGCGGCTTCCCCATCCTTTCTCAGCTGAGATGAGAGATTGTGTTAAATGCCCAGTCTGGCTCTGTGTGTTTGAGATCTTAAGGGTGTGGTCTTATCTCAGTTGACACTAGAAGACCTCCACCCGTTCTTTACTTGCTCGCAGCGAGCATTCATTCAGGCCTTTCTGGGAGTGTAATCAGGTACACAGTGTACGTTGCTGCAGCATAATTGGTGTGTCTTAGTTTTCCCGTCTTTGCTGCAGTCATGTTTGACATTCAGATGTTTGTCACTGATGGAACTTGGTCCCTTGTTGTCTCAGCTGAAACTTTAATTCAAGGTGAATAATGCTGGTTGTGGAACGTTTCCTACCTATGTGCAGTTAGGGCTGTCGCGGTGAGGGAATTTCCCTTGCGGTAATTTTGAGTGGAGGATGTGTTAAATTGATCAGTGACGGTAGACATTTATAATGTTACAAAATATTTAAATTCTAAATAAATACTGATATAAATACTTAATTTTCTTCAAAGAATCCTGGGAAAAATGTATCATGGTTTCCACAAAAATATGTAAACAACTGTTTTCAATCATATTAGAATGCTTTCTGAAGGATCATGTGACACTGAAGGTTCAGTTATTCAGCTTTTTTGGTCACAGGAATAAATTTAAAGTCCCTGTAAAGTCAATATTAAAGAACTATTAAATATTAAATAATATTTTTTGCAGTTTGTAACGTAGCTATCCTTCAATATGAACAGTCTGCAAAGTTGTTAATCAAAAAAGTGCATATAGTTATTGTCTCTCAAACGAAAGAGTCGATTCTGAACCGCCTTAACGAGTCGTCATTTTCGAATCTTCTGCCTGTTACCTATATACGTCACAAGGTAACACATCTGCATAATCCCCGCCTTCCCGAGAAATACGCACACTGACCTGCTAGGCCTGGGCGATAAATCGATAACGATAATTATCGCACGATATAAATGTCCTCGATAAATGATAACGAGTTCGATAAATGTTTGATATAATGCGGCAAAGGCGGAACATGGCTCCAGACTCATTCTTCCCACTGGTCGCTCTTTTGCAACTAACTTTCTCAGCTGGTCGCATGAGCACATGATTTGTTTTTTAATTTTTAATTTTATTTTTTTTGTGCTACAACATGGGATTATTCAATGCATGCTGATGAACTTTTATCATAGTTTAGTTATATGGAAACGAAAGTGGTTAACATTCAACCCGTTCTTTATCATCAGTAGTATTATTTGTGATTTGAATTTTGTGAATGGCAATTCCTCTTTTGCTGTGTTAAAGTGATAGTTCACCCAAAAATGAAAATTTGATGTTTATCTGCTTATCCCCAGGGCATCCAAGATGTAGGTGACTTCGTTTCTTCAGTAGAACACAAATTATGATTTTTAAGTCCAGCCGTTGCAGTCTATCAGTCGTATAATGCATGGCAATGGTAACAAAATCTATGAGAGTAAAAAAAACATGCACAGACAAATCCAAATTAAACCCTGCGGCTCGTGACGATACATTGATATCCTAAGACACGAAACGATCGGTTTGTGCGAGAAACCGAACAGTTTATCATTTTTTTACCTACTATGTCCAACTTCCTTGAGCGCGCGCACGGCATCCGATGCGTGAGGTGTGTACACGCTAGGGCTGGGTTTACGCAAGCGCCGGAAGTGATCTCTCGCGCGTATACGTCACTCATTGTTTACACAGTGCACAGTCATTGCGGAAGTGTTCCCTGCCACTGTGAAGATCTAATTTACTCTCATAGATTTTGTTACCATTGCCATGCATTATACGACTGATAGACTGCAACGACTGGACTTAAAAATCATAATTTGTGTTCTACTGAAGAAACAAAGTCACCTACATCTTGGATGCCCTGGGGGTAAGCAGATAAACATAAAATTATCATTTTTGGGTGAACTATCCTTTTAAGCCTGGGGCTTCAGATGCTTTCACTGTCGAATTCGCGATCTTGTTGTTACTGTTTTGCTTGCATACATCTACACACCTTTCATTTTTTAAGACTTCTCATATGCAACAGAAATTGCAGCGCGTATGAGTTGACCAACGCGGGGGTTGCGCCAGTGCGACCGCACACAATTTAGTCGAACAGGCAGAAAAAATGGTCGCAGTTTGGAGCCCTGCGGAACGAAAGAGCCCTAGTCAATTGAAGCGCGCCACTCGGAGCGTTTATCCGCTCGGATCAAAGTTCAAACAGCGGCGCGAGAATATTACTACATGGGTACACAGTGTACGTTGCTGCAGCATAATTGGTGTGTCTTAGTTTTCCCGTCTTTGCTGCAGTCATGTTTGACATTCAGATGTTTGTCACTGATGGAACTTGGTCCCTTGTTGTTGTCGCAGCTGAAACTTTAACTCAAGGTGAATAATGCTGGTTAATTACTGTATTTTTTGTGATTAAGCTATAGCATTTATGCATTTATAAATGTATTTAGACTACTGCTTCTCATAAATACCTACAAGCCACATTACATTTTTACCATGGTATTGAGGTGCTATATTTGTGGTTTTAACTGTGATTATCATGATCTAAATGTATGTTATGGGAGACCAATGGTTAAAAAAACACCTTAAACAGTCAGAATAATTAAATATATAATTCCATATAAACATGAGATTGCTACAATTTTAACAGATATTACTGATTTTGATAATGAACATAAATCTACATCTGCATCCTAACTCAAGCTACTATGAAATGTGTATTTCTAAGAGACAAAAAAATGTTAATTAAAATGTAATTAATATTATCAGGTAACACACACTTGTTTCTTGATTTGAAACAATATTACTCATTACTAGAACGTGCAGAACTAAGAAATACATTTTTTTCTATTAAGATATTTATTTTAAGGAAAAATGACTAGAGAAGTGTAAAGAATTCAAAAACAAAGTGTTTGTCATAGGGCTGTGCAATTAATCGAAAAACAGTTTCGATTTCGATTTTGGCCTCCCAACGATTATGAAAATACAATAACCGAGAAAACGATTATTGCGCCCCATTCTGCCCCCGTTTCCAGCGCTTTTTTCATTTTTTCAAAATGCGGAGCTTAGTGATTATTCATGTATACCTTCGTCGGTCATGTTATAAATGAACGTAAAGAGTTGAGAATGAAAATAACGTGTGTAACGGTAAATTGTATCCGTGTGGCTCTTAAAGTGACAGCGGGCTATTTTCCTGCTGCGACTGTGTGCTTAATATTAATCAAACAACAAGACAAATTCAAAATCACACACTGCTCTTGAGTGAAGGACTTTGTAGCTTTAATAAGAAATTAAAAAGTTGAATTCTTACGGCAAAGACTTGGCATGGGCCGGTATGACGGTTTCATGGTATCACGGTATTGTCGTTACAGCTGTAAAATTTGTTATTTTTAAATGACTGGGTAAAAACAAACTTTTTTTCACAATATATCTTGTTTGTGAACAACATACAGAATATTAGGAACAATAGAATTTGTTCATTTTTTCTTTGATTTGTTTCCTAAAAAGAAGAAAAATAAAGACTGTGTGACGAGTCGACTGCCTCCCCCTAATTATCAGCATCACCCCGTCCCTTAATCGCCGCCCTTCGCCAGGCTCCCGACAGGAGTGGGTGCGTGAGAGAGGAGGGGCGCTGAAATAGCCAGGGCTGGTGGCGTGTGATGGGGCACACCTGAACCGAATGGACAGATCCCCTGTTTATTTTGGACACTTGATTCCCTTTTTTTGGACACTTTGTTTATTTTCTGTTAATAAAAGCCTCTCTGAGGCCTGACGCCACATCCACTGTGTCTGTCGTTTGGTCCTCCCACCACAACTGACATCTTTATTTAACCTAAATCTGTAATTACAGTCATTTAATTTTAGTTATATAATTCATATACATATCATTTATATCATTTCATATTT